CAGACAGAGACTACCCCCCTGGGTTTCTCACCCCACGGACCTCTCTCTCTCAGGGCTGCCTCGGGACATGGCTCCATCTGGAGTGAACCAGCTGAGAGTATGGAGCCCGCAGAGAAGCCACGGTCTTTTTACAACCTAACTTCAGCAGTCACATCCCATCCCTGGTGCCGTGTTCTGTTCATTAGAAGCAAGTCCCAAAGTCCAACCATTACTCGAGGGGAGGGACTATCCAGGGGGTGACCATCGGGAGGCAGGGATCACTGAGGACCGGCTGAAAGGCTGCCTATCACGGTAGCCTCGGAAACTTTTCTATGCATACAAAACTTGGCTTTTTCAAAAAGCCTATCTTTTGCATTTTGCCTTTGCAGATATCAAGGTGGTCTTCCCGTTTATTGTAATGTGTAGAATTCCACTATGCGCAGGCTATAGAACTGAATGAACAAATCCCCTGTTGATGGGCATGTAGGTTATTTCAAGTAAAACAGCCTTTTCTCACTAATTTTCCAAGTGTGGACTGAATACCCTTGTGGGTGTTGGGGGCTCAGAGATGCAAGGACGAGAACCCCACCCTTGAGGCATACTCAGCCTAGACAAGTCAACACACAATTGTGTCATCATGGAAGGAGGTACAAGGTGCCATGAAACCCAAAAGAGGGGCTCAGCATGTCTGACCCTTCCAGAAGGAAGTGAGCCATCTCTCTTCCCCCAGACGAGCAAACTGAGTCACAGACCTGCTCTTTGTTTCACCCACACCTCCTGTGAGGACCTATGCTCCGGATAGAATGGACACTCCAGACTCACAGGGTGAGCAGCCCCTCACCTCTCCTACCAGGTCAGGCCACGCCCAGATCCTACAAGCCCCCACGAATGCCCTAGAAAAGGAAGCCAATTCGAGAAAACAGACAAAGACCTTCACGTTCTGGAAACCAAACAATTGCTTACAGTTTACTTTTCAGTCAGGTGTTTGGCATCTTTTCATCACTGTCTAAATAAATTAGTTCTGGTGACATTTTTATGGAGGTTTTTTTTTTTTTTAGAGTATCCTGTACTCATTTTTATCCTCATCAAATGTGTATTTTTTGGTGTACCTAGGAAGAATATGTTACAGAATTAGCTTAATGTTCACCATTCGATTGATCACAAAACAGCCAAGAGAGCACAAGGCTTTGGAAAACCCGTGCCAGAAAGGTCCTTGTGCGTAATACGGCGCTATTCGTGTTCTTGGTTCCCCTCAGCAGCATGGGCGTGTGCCTGGAGTCGTGATGGCAACCAGGCCCTGGCTCCAACTTTCAGATCAATTACACTTATCAGTAAGAAAGAACCATCATCATTGCCATGCTTGACTGTTGTGTGATGAATGAGTGCTCACTTTTTCTGAAAATAACCTCCCATAAAAGCCATTTTTCTGAAGCGGTCAAGATAGGAGCTTTGGGTTCAGATAGGCCCAGGGTGGAATCCTAGTCCAGGGTTTACTGACTGTGTGGCCTTAGGTAGGTCATTTAACTGCTCAACAACTCAGGCTCCTTGTCTTTGAAATGGGTTTACTCATACCCACCCGGCTGGGCTGGGTGGGCACAAGACGGCTCGATAAACTGTCACAATCGTGTAAGGGATGCCTAAGTCCCCCCGCCCCACTTCCTCCTTCCTGGAAAGTTGGGGGGCTTTAACAGTGGGGCATCATGAGTGGTGGCAAGGTCAGGTTTTGACTGGATCCAGGGGAGGTGGGAAGGCACCCTTCCCACCCCAAATTCCAGTGGGCAACACTCAGCATTAGAAGGGCCCTTGTTCCCAAGCCGACAAGGGAATGACCTTCTGAAGGTGAGAGTGATGGAAGCCAGTGCAAATTCTACCTCTTCCCAAGCTACCTTGTCCCCATGAAGCTTTCAGGACGGCTACTACCAGCGTCCCACTGGCCTGCAGGCTCAAGACCCCCTGGAGGGGGGTGGGGCAAATTTGTCCAAACTCCCTGGAAAGATAAGGCTTCAGAGATAACAGCTCTGGCTCACCTCACCTCTGAAAGCCACTGACGATAACGAACCTTTTCCCAAGAGCCAACTGTGGCAGGATGAGGGGGACCCGGGAAATAGGGAAAGGGGAAGAGCTGTTGGCACCAGATCCGTGCCCAGAATTCTCCACAAAATGATTTCAGCCTGACAAGGCAGGAAGAGCACAAGCCGGAGTGAGAAAACCCAGGTTTGCGTTTGCACTGGACTGCATTTTGAGTATTTGCAAACTCAGGCCCAGTGAAACGTCAGTGGAGCCCTCCCGCATGGCTCGTGGTAAGGAGCACGGGAGAGAATGGGAGAGAAAGTGCTGGGAACATTCCATGTAAGCAGTATCACTATTAATCGGGTACAATCTACCCCTCTTTGGTGAATAGAGGAGATCTTTAATTCTGCGCCCCGCCCCCGGCCCAGGGCATCAGCCATGGCCTCCCCCACCGTATTCCTGATATCGCTGGGGCTACCTGGGGAGTAGATAATCCCAGAACACGGCTGAGGGTCAATCTTTATGCATTGAAACGTCAGAAGAATATCACCAACTTCACTGCGGTGAACAAACAGCAGGGAAGATACATTTGCTTTGTCTACATCAGGGTTTCTCAAACCTTGGGCGGCATAATTCCTTGCTGTGCCTTGTAGGATTTTTTTTTTTTTTTTAAGATTTTATTTATTTATTTGACAGAGAGAGACACAGCGAGAGAGGGAACACAAGCAGGGGGAGTGGGGCAGAGAGAGAAGCAGGCTTCCCGCGGAGCAGGGAGCCCAGGACCCTGGGACCCTGACCCGAGCCAAAGGCAGACGCCCAACGACTGAGCCACCCAGGTGCCCCACCTTGTAGGATGTTTAAGAGCATCCCGGGCCACTACCCTCTAGACTCCAGGAGCACTAACCCCAGTTGTCATACCCGAAAATGTCCCCAGAGACCGCCTAAATTGGGGGGGGGTGCAAAATCACCCCCAGCTGAATACTACTAGAGTACATAAAGAAATGAGGGCCGGGGGTGGGGGAGATGTCAGTTCCCCGGCATTTTGTTGCTGCAGAAAGATTTCAGAGGGGTATAAAAGCGGAAAGGGACGGTGGTGACAGTCTCGGGGCATGAATGTGGCATCTCTCACCTCTCCAGCTGGAGGGCTGTGACCTCCACAGCCAGTGGCCACCTCCACGCTTGTCATTTGGGGGATCTGGGGAATGGGACAGAAGGCGTTCCTTGGATCAAAAGCTAATGCCATCCGATATCACTAGCATTTTCTACATCCTGTGCTGGTGACAAGGGCCTGCCCTGCGGGGAAAACCAGCGGTTTAAAAGAAAGAAGGCTCTTTCTCCTAAGAAACCGACGTTTATTAATAATACATCCCCAAACTTCATGTCAACAAAGGGAACCTCTCACTGCAAAGAAATACCGGCCATCCAAGGGGATGTCAGCAGCCTCAAGATCTGATCTTTTTTTTTTTCCCCAAAGTAGCAAATGGACCACAAAATCTCTCTCCGTGTAAGAGCCCATGAGAAACTCAAGTCAAGGCTTTTGTTCTTTGCTTGCCTTCTCTGTAATCATTCTGCTAAAGCAGAACAGCCAAGTTACATTGCTAAAGAAGTAAGTGTAAAAAGAATCTTGGTTCTGTTCTAAGCATTTCCGAATGGCTAACAGGAAAGGTGAAATTGGACTACAATATCACGGCTCGCCGGGCCTCGGCCAACCTCCAGTCCTTGAGGGAGAAGAAAGGGGGTAAACACCGTCTGGGAACGTTCCAGAGTTGGATGATGCCAGAAATTTCCCAAGCCGGGCCACTCCTTTTGCCCTTCCCACCCCAAATTCCAGCCTCCTGCTTTTACACGGCAGCATTTAAACCAAACAAATCAGGAGCTACAATGTGACTAAATTTCTGGACAAACAAAAATTACTACAAAAGGGAAAAATGAACCACCACCAATATAGGTTGTAGCCCACTGTTTGGACTCACCTGCTAAATGCTACCCATCAGCACAGATTAAAACAAAAGCCTGCCACATTCCGGGCAGACACTGCTCTCCAGGGGCGGCTCAGCTGGAAAGTGTGCTGGAAATTCAGTGGCATGCTCTGGTCATTTCTAAATACTCTCTAGAAGACGAGAGTTCAGGTCAAGTGAGAGCACGTGGCTCCATCACTTGACAAAACCCCACAGCCAGGGAACAGGTGTGGCCTGCGGAGAGCAAACAAAAACTTCTCTCAAACAACAACAAACAGTTAACACCCTCAGCCTGTCAACACCAATTAGCCTGCCCTCCCAGCAGAAGCCTCTTAAGACGGATCCTGAAATCCAGCTAGGTCCTCTGCAAGCAGAAGTGGTCATCGCGTGGCTTCCCCCAAGGAAGTGACCCTCAGTGGAAACTTACACCAGCAGGCACAGCCCTTAGGTCCCCTCTACCCCTAAGGGGCCCCGCTGGGTGGGATCCTAACTTTGCTGGACCCCAGGCACTTTTCCTTTCCTGGGTTTCTTCCTGCATAATAATGTCGATATTAGAATTGATTTTTGATATAATTTTAAATACTTTAATATTTTATTCTCTTAGTATTTCAGGCAGACTTTAATTAATAGGTTCTTGTGGACCTGAAAAATTAAAACAGTGCCTTTGAATAATTTCACTTCCTTTGGGTTTTCTTTCTTCTAATTTTAAAAGAAATTAAGCATTTTCCAGCCCCCCTCCCGCCCCCCACCGGGAAGTATCAAGGGTCCTAGGCACTGGGCCCACTGTGTCTCAGGGAGAAGCCGGCCCTGATTCAGTAGGAATGTGCAATTTTTTAAAAATACTGTTATCCATGGCCTGTACATCCACCTCAACACAACTCTGGCCTATCCTGAAAGCCCATCCTATCAATAAAATACTGACATAAAATGCCCGGGACGTATATACATTTTCACTTGTCTCTGAAGAGTGACTTACACAGGTGGACTCCAAGGGGCTTAAAACAAAAAACAAAACCAACTCAGCACACAAGATAGATTTTCTTCAATATTTTATTTATATAGAAATACTTAAAAAATGAAGTAGCACCATTACTTAAGTTTTACCTTTATTATGTAGAACTTTAAATGTCAGAAAAATAAAACTCTTGATACAATTTCAAATCTTGTCTCAGCAAATATAATATTAGTATTTGACCATGAGGTTAAAGGCCCTTTATCATAAAATAAAATATACTTTGTTTTTTAAACTTTGCTCAGTAAAGTACATTTAAGCTCAAGTAACGTCACCTACATATACATAAACAAGTGGTAAACAAATGTATTAAAATAGAAATACTAAAACTATAGTGGCCCAACAGAATTTTTGTAGCTTGCACTGAATTCTATTTATACAAATGTTAGAAAGCATCAACAGTTCCTTTTGACATGTTTATACATTTCCGTTTTTTTTTTTGTAATAATATAGAATAAAATATGCTTTATATCACTGGATAGAAAATATGCTGGGTGAAGCATTTCTAGAAGATTTGTCTGAACCTATAAAATCTCCATCCCAACAGAATACTGTTCAAAACATTACACATTTTATGGTTTTGTAATTCCGTCACGATTGTGTGGTTATTAAAATAATACAGTGTTCTTTGCCATAAGGCCATACTAAAATAAAAAGATTTAACCCAGCTACAAAAAAGTTCACTGAACTTAAATTAAAATACTTGTAAACATCTTTGCAATATGAAATATAATTTTTCAAGTCAAAAAAGAATAAAATACTTCAATCTGTATTAATGCAATTTCTCTTTAAAACTTTTAAACGTTTTTAATATATAAGAGATATGTTACAGTTTAACTTTTTATAAAGCTGCAGTATCCTGGCCCTTCCACAACATTCAAAAAGGATCCACTGTGTTCTATAATAAGCATCGTAGGAACCCAGCCACAAAGGGGAACACACTAAAACAGTCCACACATCCCATAAGCACTATTATTATCATCTTCATCATAATAATTATTGTTCTTTTTTTTTTTCCTACTTTAAGAAAATGGAAAACTTGTGGGGTTTTCTTCTTTTGGAAGCTTCCTATGAAGTACAGTGTAAAACCTATCATTACTAGAATGTCGCCGTTCCTATTATTTATAGAGCATGCATTTCGGGTGGTTTCGGGGGTTTCCCAGGCTACAGTACTCTTGATGCAGGTATCCTGGCAAGTTCCTTTGTTTGAAAATTTAAATTTAAAAAAAAAAACAAAACGAGCGGATACTACAGCTTTCCAAGCTCCTCCGGGATCTCAGAGTGTGAGCAGGGGTGGGGGAGGAGAAGGTGGGGCGCGGGACCGCGGGGGGGGCGGGGGGGCCGAGGCTGGAGCGGAGGGGAGGGGGCCTCCCTGGCCCCGCGGGCTGCGCGCAGGCGCGCGCTGCCTTCAGGAAAAGATGCGGATGGCCTGAGTGACCGCGGTGTGGCAGACCGGGCACTCGGGCTCGCTCTTCTCGCAGATGCGGTTGGCGCACTCCATGCAGAAGAGGTTGTGGCCGCAGGGCACGAGCGCGGCGATCACTTCGCTCTCGAAGCACACGGAGCAGTCGCGGCTGCCCTTCCGCCGCAAGCCCGACGACGACGACGAGGAGCTGGACGAGGAGCTGGACGACGACGAGGAGCCGGAGGTGTCGGACGGCTGCAGGCCCGGCAGCTGCGCCCCCAGCCCGTTGGCGTAGGCGGCGTAGGCCAGGCCGCCTCCGCCCGGGTCGCTGCGCACCCGGCGAGCCAGGTGGTGCTCGCCCGCCCCCGGCGCCATGTGCAAGGGCGGGGACAGGCGCGGGCAGCTCGCGCCCGGGTGCAGCCGGCGGTGCCCCAGCAGCCCCAGGTTGGCACTGGAGGGCGCGCCGGCGCCGGGGAAGACCACCGAGGACGACGAGGCGGACGAAGACGCGGAGGACGAGCAGGAAGACGACACGGGCGCTGCGGGTCCGCCTCCGGGGGGGCGCTCGAACTGAGCCCAGAGCAGCGGCGCCCCAGGCGGCGGAGCGGGAGCCGGGTCGAAGGTGGGCTGCAGCTCGGGACAGCCGTCGGGGGAAGGCACGGAAGCTTCCCCCGCCGCGTAGGTGTATCCGTTGCCGTTGTTGTTGTTGTTTCCGTTGTGGGCAAAGCTGAGCGCGGGGCTGGGGGGGCTGTAGTCCGCCAGGCGCGGGGTGGCGGCTGTGCTGCCGCTGGTCCCCCCGCCGAAGTAAGAGTCCGTGGAGGCGCTGCCAAGCGAGCTGGAGCTGTCGTTGCGGTAGCTAGAGAAGGGCTTGCGGCCGGGGGTGGGCGTGATGCTGGGGGTGGGCTTGCTCCAGAGGCTGCCCGGGCCGGACCCGCCGGACCCGTGATGCAGCTCAAAGCCCACGTCCGTGCCGTTGGCGTGGAAGTCGTTCTCATCCGTGAGCTCGATGATGCCGCCGGTGCGCAGGGCGATGTGCGCCTCGATCTCTTCGCGAGCTCGGTCCACGTTCTCGGGCATGCCGGTCACCTCGAACACCGGCTCCTTGTCGCGGCTGGGCGTCACGATGTACGTGTGCGTCTGTTGTTGGATGCGCTTGATCGTGGCGCCCTTGGGCCCCACCACGAGCCCCACCACGCGATAGGGCACCCGCACCTGGATGGTGGTCTGTCCGGGCAGGTTGGGCGGCCCGGGCACTGCGCCGTTGAGCGCCGTGTTCTTATTCCGCGAGGCGCGGATCATGGAGAAGTGCTCCGCGGCAGAGATGATCTCCCTCCGAGCCATGGCCACATCCTCCTTCCTGCCCGTCACAACAAAGACAGGCTCCTCCCCGCGAACCGGGGTCTTGATGTAAGTATTGGTCTTCGCCCGCAGCGCTTTAATTTTACAACCTGGGAGCCAGGGTGCAGGGGAGGGAGTGGGAGAGAGAGACAGACACGCCCATTATCCCGGGGTAACCGCGGAGACCTGGGACCGCCCGCGTCCAGGGCTGCGGGACGGCAGGACACGCTTTGGGCGGAAAGGGGGCGGCTCCCTCACTGACCCTGGGCCACGCCACGGGCTGGGAAGCGGGTTCCACCCGCGAGGCGCTCGAGGAACAGCCCATTGGCTGCCCAGCCCTCCCCCAGTGACTGCAGTCGTCCCGAGCAAACCCGAGAATCCCAGAAAAAGTCAGCCGGGGAGATGCCGCTAGGATCCAGCGGGGCGCGCCGTCCGCCCTGAAGACGCGGCGAAGGGGTTCAGGGAAGAGGGCCGGAGCCGCGATCCCCCCAGAACTGGGGGACTGAGGGGAAGGGGGGGCAGTCCCGGGACCCATTGTTCCTCCTCTGGGCTCCATTCCGCTTTGCAGAAATCCAGAATCCTCCTCCCATCCGATGCTCACTCCTCCTCCTCCCCCTCCCAAAGGACCGATCAAAGGCCCCCTCCCCCAAGCATCTTATATTTAAATCCTATTTCCCGGGGTGGGCTGGGTGGGGGGCGCTAGGGGAGAAGGCAGTGGTTTTAGCAGGATAAAGTGCATCCCGCCGTGGCAGCGGCGCGGCTCCGGGAGACAGCCTGCCTGCACTTTCTTTGTCTGGGGCGCCGGCCCCTCGCGCGGCTCTTCCTCTCTCCTTAAGGCTCGCGGGCGCCGCGGATCCCGAACCCTCTCGCGCCCTCCCCGCGGGGCGGTGGTCCGAGACCCTCTCCCCTCCAGTTCCCCATCTCCGCCGGACCCACCTTGCCGCCCCACGATCTCGGCGACGTGCTCGGAGCTGGGCACCGGCACGCACTCGGTCATGTTCACGCTCTTCTTGCGCGGCTCACTGTCGTACAGAGAGGCGCCCTCGTCACTGTCCAGCCCCAGCAGGGAGAGCTGATCGAGCGCGAGCTGCAGGGCTCTTTGGTCATCCAGGGTCTCTCCCCCGCCGCCGCCGCCGCCGCCGCCGCCGCCGCCGCCTCCCCCTCCGCCGCCGCTGCCGTTGCGCTCCAGGTCTGCAAACAGGGAGCTGGGCATCGCTCGGCCGTGCGCGCCGCGCCCCCGCCGGCCCTCGGCTCGGCGGCCAGAAGCTGCGGCCACAAAGGCAGCCGGGAAGCGAGTGGTCAGGGGCGGGGAGGCCGGCCGGCTGCAGCGGGCTCCGCTGCTCCTTTCTCGGCGCCGGGAGGAGTGGGTCGCTCGGCGCGGTCCGCGCCGGGCAGTGGCTGCAGGAGCCCCCGCCTGGGTCCCCACCCCAGATCTGCCGCCGGGTGGGGTGGGGGCAGAGCTCGAGCGGCAGGCGCGCGTGCCCCCCGAGTGCCCGGCTGGCTGGCCACAATGCCGAGCGAGAAGCGAGCAGGCGAGCGACAGCAGCGTTTCTTTAAGGAGCCCCTCCCCGGCTCCTCCACTCCCTCCCGCCCGCCCGCCCGCCCGCCCGCCCTCACTCAGCGCTTTTTCCTCCTCTCCTCCCCGCCTCTTGACTGAGCCTCTGCAGCCAGACGGCTCCGGAGGGGGACGAGGGAGGCGCAACGTCACCGGCGGGAGCTGACACTACAATGCCACTGACACTATCGCTGGGGGAGGCGATTGGCGCGCGCCGGGCCGGGGGCGGGCGGAGGCCGCGGTCAGGGCGCGCCGAGAGCGAGCGCCCCCCACCCCCGCGCCCGCCGCAGCCCGCCCCGTCCTCCTCGCGCCGCGCCCCTCCCCCGCCGCCGCTAACGCCTCTCTTTGTTGTCTAATGCGGGACCGGCAGGCTCGGGACAGTCGCGCGTACCTATCGGCCGAGGACAGCCTGTCCCCAGCTCTCTTCCCTCGCCTGATGGAGAAGGGAAAACGCGCCCAACTCTGAGGCCAGCGGCCCGGCTCCGAGAGAGCGGTCCTGAGAAAGTCCCGTTAGCGTCCCCAAATAAACCACCCCTAGAGCCCACGGGGCCCCTGGGAGAAAGGTCTATCGTCTGCCCAACAGGGCGGCCCGAGCCCTCGGACTGGGCAGAGCGGGACTCGAGGTCCCGGTGCGCACGGGCAAAGTGCCTCCTGGCGCGGGTTGCCCACCTGCGCGGGAGCGCAGGAGACACAAAGGCACAGGCCCGCCCGCATCGCTCCCAGCGCGCGCGCGCGCGCCCACAGCTCTGTCCCCCCTTGGGCAGCACTTTGTCCAACTGGCCCTGAAACTGCGGCGGGGCCAGCCAGAACCCCGCCGCAGCGCGCCGCGACCTCCGGAATGTGCGGCGCTGGGGTCCTGGACAGGCCCGCGCGCCTGCCGAGACCCCGCGGGCGCTGAGTCGTGCACGAGCGCCGCGCCGCCACCGCGGGGACGCCGGCCATGGCTCCGGCGGGCGGCGCGGGCGTGCGCGCGCCGCCGTCCCGTCCCTCCCCGCCCCGCGGTCGGGCATGCGCGGTGCGCGCGGGGAGCGGGCGGGCCCTTTAAGGCGGGCGCGGCGCGGCGCGCGCCGGCCCCGCCCGCGGCCCCGCCCCGACGGGAGGTGTGCGCCCGCCGCCCCGCCGCTCTTTGTGCGCGCCTCCCGGTGGGGTTGGCGGCGGAGGGAGGGCGCGCCCGGACCGGCCGGCGGGGACGGCGAGCTGCGCCCCCTCCCGGATCTCCCGGATCTCCCGGGGCCGCCTCCGAGCGCGCGAGAAGAAAGGAGGCTTTGCGGGCCGGGCCGGGGCACGCCGCCGCCCCGTCCCCCTGCGCTCGGCCCCGCGGCGCCGCCACCCGGCCCGATGGCCCCTCGGGCCCCGCGCGTGCCCCTCTCCTTTGTTCCCGGCGCCCCCGGGCTCGCCGCGCCCCCGCGAGCGGCCGGCCGGGCCGCTCCGCAAGGCGGCCGGGGCTGCGGTTTGCCGAGAGCGCCAGAGTCCGCCCGGCGGGACGCCCGCCCGGGACAATGGGGCCATGTGGCCGCCGCCGCGCGGACGGGCTCCCTCGGGCGACCTGGCGGGGCCGCGGGGCGAGCTCGGGGCGCGCAGGCAGAGGCTCCCCGGTGCTTGCTCCCTGCGTGACCCCGGGAAGAGAGCGAGCGCCCGGGCCTCGGTGTGCCCTGCGTAAAATGGGGGAAATCGTACCTGCCCTGGCCACCTCGTGGGCTCGGAGAATGGGCTGTGACCGTGGACGCGAGCGCGCTTGGTAATCAGGCAGTTAGGCAAACGCCTTTACTTTGGAGAACGGGAAGGTGTTCCCTTCTTGCTCACCTGGAGCTGTCTCGGGGAAGAGGTGCTGATTATTTCCTTGGGGAAATGAGGCTTCGAAGCCACTTAGAGTGGTTATTTCCTCAGGATGTTTATGTCAGCTTCCCTGACTCTGGGTGTGTGTTTCTTCAAAGGGAATGATGGATGGGGTGGGGGAGGGTGCTAGAAGTCCTCCGAGAGAGCCACCACCTCGAACTCCAGTGGAGAGTTCTTGTGGTTTTTGACCTGGTTTATGGACTCAAGTCCCACTAATCTGTGAATGGGGAGGGAGTGCCTTGAGGATGGAGGTTCCGGGAGGAGAGGGTCCTGGCTGGTCCAGGCGCCTCAGTCAGGGCCTGTAAATACCAGGGCAGGCAGGAAAAGCACTCCAAAGGCCTGGCCATTTACATCTTGCCAACACAACAGGCTTGTTGCTGGCCTCTGGGCTCTGTTTCTAGGAATGTATAGCCTCCCGATTGGGCCAACTGAGGTTTCTTTTTTCAGATAACAGGATGGAAGTAAAGTTGTTGCCCAGAGTTCACTGCTGGGGAGGCCTGGACACAGGTAAATGGGGGCCCTCCTCCTGGGGTTGCTTGTGCTAGGGAACAGGACTGCACACATCCTCCCCCTGCCATCTGCAGTGCTGGGATTTCAGATGGGTTAAATCAGAAATTTGTTTAGAGGACTGCATGTTTCAGAGTCCCCGTGGTCCTTGGGTCAGTCCCAGGAATGTGAACGTGACACTTTGCGTAGGTGACAGGTGTCTCTCTCCCCTACCAGATCATGAAGGCAGGAACTGTCCATAATTACACATACCTGGTGAAATCACACATTGAAGCCCACATGGAGGATGAGCTAAAACTCTGGCCCTGGGACTTCTTGAAAAGCCGCTAACCCCCAGGTGCCCATGACATTCCTTGTAGCCTGGGTCACGTTCCATAGACCAGAATGCTTCGGGAAAACCGATGCAAAGATGGGATCGTTTTCTGAAGACACCCACAAGACTGAAGGCCCTCCCGAGAGTCTGGGCGGGAGGTTGGTGGTCGTGGTAGCAGGCGCTATGACCTTTGACAGAGCGGATTCCCAGTCGAGCCCTGCTTCGGTGTTCCTGTCCTGTGCAGAGGCCGGTATCCAGCTTCCCTCCTACCTCAGGCGGCTGTTTTAGCAGAGGGATAATGATGGTGAAAGCTAACTCGGTGTAAATTACAAAGTACTACGCAAACGTGTGGGTAGATTGGTGCTTTACCTGCAGCCACTGCTTATCTTCTCGACCTGTATCCAGTGCTGACTGGTCAGGGTATTTTCTGACACTTGAATGCTATTATAAAAGTAACAATCTGGAAAAATTCTCAGTGAATGGCTTTAATAAGCCTAGATGTGATAAAACTTGCAAAGTCCAGTTCTGTTTCGAAGTAGATAATACAACCCAACTCCATAGTTTTTGGCTAGACTTTCCCAGGCTCCTTTAGGACCCCAGCGCTTAACTACTTTTCCTGATACGGGACATGTTCCCTAAGGACTTACCCGACGTGGCCATATTATTTTTTTTTTTTTATTAGCAGAAGAGAGAAGCTTGAGGAGTGTGGTCTGGTAACATAATAGAGAATTTCAGTTGTCATAAAATAAGAAAAAGTGAAGTCACTCACAACAACCAAGATTAACAGTGAGCCTACCTCGTACTTGCTTCCAGAGGACTTGAACTGTTTTGCACACATCTTGCTTGCTTCTGCAAACTGAAGAGCTGGCAAAAGCAGCTACAGTCCTCATGGGAAAACAAGCACACTTTCGGTCAACTCACTTCACATTACTGAGTATCTACATACTTTATTATAGGCACCCAGGAAAGTGCTGACGATACAGAAATGAACACAGCGGGGGTGGGGAGGTCCTTTCCCCTGGAGCCCTGTTCATGTCCAAAGCCCATTAGGCAGCAGGGGCTGAGTACCCAGGCAGTAGTGAGTCTGCCTGGAGTCCTGAGAAGGCTTCCCAGAGGCGGGGACGTTTGTGCTGTGCTTTCAGAAACGCGGTGGGAGAATTCATTGAGACTTGTACCTCGTGTGGTACGCGGTGTCTGGTAGGAACTCGATCGGTGTTTATTAAATGAATGAGCAAGCCAGGCTGAAAAGGCTCCAGGTGTAATTTTCTTAAGTATGCATGTGAATAACCATCTCTGGGAAGCAGCTCAAAGGACTCCAGCCACAGCTCCATGACTCTGAGTAATCACAGGCGGTATTTATCAAGCACCCGGTGTGCGCCAGGCAGCTTACCAAATGCTTTACAACGCGCTATCTTGTGTAAGCCTCCAAACCACTGAAGTCTACTTCTCTTGGCCCCATTTTGCAGATGAAGGGAAGTTAAGTCGCTTGCCCAAGCGGAGGCAGATTTGCCTTGAAGCAGGTGAAGCTCAAGCTTTTGGGCCCTTCCATGGCCCTGGGAGGTGTTCAGAGCAATTTAGGTGCAGGATCACATGTTTTAGTAACATTTTCAAGAGTAAAGTTTTTCTTCTTTTCCTTAAGGAGGACCCCAACACTGATGTGACCTTCAGGCCTAATAAATCTTAGTCACTGTTGTGCTCAAGGTCACACAGCTGATAAACGGTACCCAAGCCTGTGATCGTAAGCACCCCAAGTTCCTTCTCACCTCTGGGCTGTGGATTCCCCAGCTGGAAGCTGGAAGCGTTTCCGGCCCCAGGCCCCCCACAGGACTCTAATGATCACATGTGTGAGGGCCCCGCAAAGCATCTTGGTTTTTGATGTCCTGTTCAGTCTTTGTATTGTTAACATATACGTCACATGGAACACATAAAACACACACGTTTTTAAAATATTTTAATAATAAGGGAAATGCTCTCCTTATGTTGAATGAACAAAAAAAGGAGCTAAGAAGTGTGTGTGTTACTAAACACTCAGGAAGCATCAGGAGAAGCAAATGAATTAGGCTGGAAAGCAATACATCAAAATCTTCACAATGGTTATTTAAGTAGTGGGCCCACATTTTATTTTCACGGTTCCCCATGTTTCAAGTTCTGAACATACATCTTTATTCAATTAGTCTTTAAAAGTAATACATGCTTAGCTTAAAAGTTAAATAGTGTCAAAAGGCTTAATAAAATAAAAGCACCCATACCGGCTGTAAGTAGAAGGAGGAGAAAAAAAAAAAAAAAACCTAAAGCGAATCCTAGCACACATTTATATTTATTAAAGCTTTTGGAATTATGAGAGTAGAGAGGGAGGAA